ATTTGTATGTGCAAAAGAACAAAGAGTGCTCAAGTTCAAGGTGTCCTTGACCCTCTTCAGACTGTGCATTGTCATGCTGTTATTCAGCTCAAGTCACAAGATGCTCTTTGCTCTAGACTTGGATGGACTCGATGTGTCAGAGCAACCAGTACCTAGGCATCCTGTACGAACTATTGCTTTGTGGAAACCACCTGAGATGACTATAATCTGAGCTATAATCTCATTAATGCTGTGCAAAGTTAAAGCTAAGCTTCTTTTTCATCCGTCTTCTTCTTTTAAGTAATGGCTGCCATTTCTAATATTCTTGCATCGTTAAGGGTTGCTTGTTGCTTTGTTTCTGCTTGCTGAACAGACGGAGCTTGTCAGTTTAGGGAGGGTCTCTGCATTAAGCCTCCCCCCCACCATTAACTTTGTTTTCATTTTATGTCATCACTATCATTTAATTGTACCTTGGTAGATCAAAAGTGCAGTTCATGAATTTGCTATCCATTCTGTCTCATCCAGATTGTGTGAAATATTCTTCAGAGTTTTGGATCAAATTAAAATCCAGTCAAGCAAAATGGGGTTGATGGGGGAGGAAGATGAAGGAAGATGTAGCTTGGAGACCAGCAATACAGGAGTCATCTGGAAGCCATGAAGAAAAGGGACATTTCTGCACAGACACATTTAGGGAGAAATAAATTAAGAAGTGTTTTGTTATGAATACGAAAGGGCAAGTTTGTCAGTTTTTCTTTCTCTACATACGAGTTCTGTGAATTTTGGTGAATACCAGTCAAAAAAAGCAATCCGACAGGGAATTTTCATCTGCCCCTAATTGTGAAGGAGCATACGTGAAGCCATGACAAGACTTAGGCATCTCCTGATACGGATACATAAATATGTTTGTAGATAATGTTTTTTTTTAAGGAAGGACAGTCATGGCTAAAACCAGAAGACTTAGAAACATTGGGGGGAAGGGACAAAACTACAGGGACAGTCCAGGAGGGCTGTATTGGCATCTCAGATGAACCACATTGGTCTATGGTTTCACAGACCTGCATTGGCTGTAGGACTCTCAATTCCAGCATCTATGGCGCTCTCCAGGGTGCTGAATATCCACGGCTACAGAACTGATGGAGCCCTGCTTTCCCCCCCTTCTCTTCCTGCTACCATCTTTTTTTCTCTCTCCCAGACGTGGCTCGACCTGATGTGTCAGAGCAACCAGTACCTACATTTCCCTCCCTGGTAGGCAGTTGGGGGACAGACAGATTGTTTTTGCCATAGAACTGAACTTGTAAGGGATCCAGTCATGAATGAGGTTGAAAGCCACAGATTGTCTATCTCTGGAGAGACTCATGCTCTGATTTATAAATCAGCATGAAAGCAACTATCAGAGCTCTGATGGCGAGAGTGACATCTTTGCCAGAGGCTGGAGATGTGCTATGGAAATATCTAGCTATGCCAAACTGATACCAATGACTTTCATGCCAACAGTAGGACCCAAACTTGGGTGTTCTGCTGAAAAGTACCTCCCAACCCTGTATTAATTGCCTTAAGTAAGCCCAGACTAAACAGTGTACTGTATTAAAGTTGTTCCATTGAGTTGTCACATCCTGGATTAGATGGTGCTATGGCAATCTCAATTTTTCTTGACTTTGTAGCAACAACTCGCTGCCCTGGACATTGTGGTGAAAATGCCCCACCACCTTTCTGGCCCACTCAATTATGGCAGTTCTTCTTCTTCTTCTTTTAAAATCAACCTCTGATTTATGAATGTAAGATATTGTGTTTCTGTACCCACAATTCAAAAAACCAGGACATGAGCCAATATTGTTGCATAATATCATGCCCATGTTCCATCAGGAGAAAAGATGCCAAGCTTTATATAGCAAAGGGAAGCCTGAATGTTCACAACACCAATGACAGCAGTCAGAATGGTCTACAGCAGTGGTCCCGAACCTTGGGCCTCCAGATGTTCTTGGACTACAACTCCTAGACACCTTCATCACCACCTCTGCTGGCCAGGATTTCTGGGAGTTGCAGTCCAAGAACACCTGGAGGCCCAAGGTTGGAGACCACTGGCCTACAGGATACCCTCTTATGCTCACTACAATTCATAAAGTAACACCACGCAAGGGAAAATCCCAAAAATTGACTCCTTTTTTCATTTGTTAACCACTTCTCACTCAAATGCAAAGCAATTATCTAGGCTGTTTTTTAACAAGTGTAAATGGTAGTGAGCAGAATATGTGCACATACACAAATATACACACATACAGAGAGAGAGAGAGAGAGAGAGAGAGAGAGAGAGTCTATTAATCTATCTGTCCTTTATATAACAAAATCTTATTTCGCTGCTTGATATACCCCAGGGAAGGCTAAACCCAATATAAGTATTTCCCTGTTGACTTATAATGCATTAATTTATGACTCTACTAATCCTAAATCTCATTCCTAACTATATTAAATAAACAATATACAATGAGATGTAGAAAATGTAAATGTAAGTTCAGGGTTCAGATGCCAACACAGAGGAAACTGCTGCACTGCAGGCTTGCACCAGAGCATATCCTAAAAGCAAATGACAGGGGTTTTATAAGCAGTTATGCCCACCTTTCAGTTGGAAAGATCCAATATGAATATAATATGTTCTGGTGTCTGTTCCTGTTTCCCGATTTCATTGGTTGTGGACAAACATTTACAGGTTTTGCTCTCATCCCAGTGACTCTCCCTTGGAAAGCTCATGGCAACACCAATCAGGAGACACTGAGTTCTCTGCCCCCACTATGCTTGACAAGGAGACACTGAGTTCTCTGACCCCACTACGCTTGACACCAAAGTGTCTTTAAGTTTGATTTCTCAAGAAATAAAATAGAACTTTCATTTCTTCCTCTAGCACAGTGGTTCCCAAACTTGGGCCTCCAGATGTTCTTGGACTACAACTCCCAGAAGCCTTCACCACCACCTATGCTAGCAAGGATTTCTGGGAGTTGAAGTCCAAGAACATCTGGAGGCCCAAGGTTGAGGACCATTGCTCTAGCAGGCAGAAACCTAGCCTTTTGCTTTCTAGTCTATAGAAGCAAATGGGACTCTGAATATTAAGAATTATTATTGCAGGTATTTGGAACCACTGAAATCAGATTCAGATGTACAGTAGGACCCCCTTATCCATGAGATCAGTATCCATGGATTCACTTATCCATGAAAATATTAAAAGAAAATTTCCTCCAAAACATATTTCTAATGATGAAATTACCAGAACTGGCATTGGGAGCCAGAGACCTTGTTATACGTCACATTTGCTATTATAATAGTGTTTGTTATAATTTGCATTTTGCATCCGCTGGCGTGGTGGCGATAGTGTTTGTTATAATTTGCATTTTGCATCTGCTGGTGTGGTGGTTGCTTGGAACCAATTCCCTGTGGATATGGGGTGGCGGTGGTCCTACAATATTCAGAACTCTCCAAATATGGCATTAATCAGTGAATTCCAAATATTTCTGAATCCGAATGCACATTCATAATAGCTTCCATCATCACTACGAGCTGAGGCTAATTGGGAGCTGTAGTCCAAAACATCTGGAGGGCTTTGAGATTGGAGAAAGCTGACTTATGCTGAATTCATTAAAGATTCTTGAAAGAAGAAAACTTTTCTCCTGTTACATCACTTAATAAGTGTTTTGCTTCTTAAAATAGTAACACCAATTCACACCTGTAATTAAGTGCTTGCTTTATTCAGCAAGGTAGCTGATACTAATCACTGGAATTTTCCAGGTGTGCCTGCTTCTTCTTCTTCTTCTTCTTGACACTCCGTGTCGTACAACATCAGCACTCTATAACATGTAAACGCATCCGACCTGACAGGGGATTTGTTGAAACCACACACACTCCAAACCAGGGTGTTGGTTGGGGGTTCAGAAGATGGGAGTTGTAATCCAGCCCATCTGGAGGGCTGATAAAGGCTGTAATCTGTCACTTTGTTGTTGTTTAGTCATTTAGTTGTGTCTGACTCTTTGTGATCCCATGGACCAGAGCATGCTAGGCCCTCCTATCTTCCACTGCCCCCCGGAGTTGGGTCAAATTCATGTTGGTAGCTTCGATGACCCTGTCCAACCATCTCATCCTCACTAAAACTAAACCTCAGTAAATCAAAATAGGTTGGGAGTTCTATTCCCTTCCACCCACCCCACCCTGGGCCTCCTTGACATGGGCTGCCCTCAATTATTTATAGGATCTTTTCCAATTCTACAGTTCTAGGATGATGGTGGTGGTGATGTTAAATAACCATACAGCCTTCCCCCTGTTTACTCCTTCCTGCCTTTGGCCGCTAACATCTCCCATGTACCAACGTTATATCCTCGGGGAATGGTCCTCTCATCTGATGTTTTCTACATTGCCATGAACATTGAAGGTACAATAACAACAACAGCTGCCGCCGCCATTGCTATCCACTTTCTGCATGGCTGCACACATGAAAAGAGAAGAAGCTGCAGAAATTGCTTTCTTTCTTTCTTTAAGAATGCAGCAGCCCAAACCAGAAGCCATGGGGAGGGCTTGCCACCCAAAACAGTGCCTCCCCCCAGTTCTGCAAAGGAGGGTGTTTTTGCTGCTGTTGCCACTGTTGTCCCATCACAGCTCCCATTTAAGCTCAGAAGCCTGCTTTGGGGTGCCAAGAGAAATGACCCGAACCGACAGCAGGGGTGGATTTATAGTCCGCCCGCTGTGGGGTCTATGCACGGCATTGCACTGATCTCAGCAGCTTGACTTTGGCTGTGTCCCTCTTTAAAGGGGTGAAACCGGCCCCTGCTTCCCGAAGCTGCCTGCTGCTGATTGGCTCTGGCATGGAAATCTGCAGCTAGGGCCTAATGGCCCTTGATTTGAGTAGCTCTGTGTGTATATGTGTGTGTGTGTGTTTGTGCACGCACATGCAAGGCACAAAGACAAGCTGAGGAGGGTGAATGAAATGCTATAAAGCAAGCTCCCACCACTCATGACAGCAGGACTGATATGCTGTCTTATGAATCAACGTGTGTAGGATGAACAGGATCGGTGAGTCAGCGCGCTGCGGAGAAGAACCGATTCCCCCACCCATGCTCTTCACAGCACAATAGCCTTTTTTACCCTGTCTGTTCCTGGTGCATTACCTGGCCTGACATTTCCCAGCACAGGGATGGAGGGCAGAGCGGGAGGCAAGGAGGTCTGGCAGCTGCATCCTTTCAGCAGTCCTTGAAACGTCCTCTCTTCCAAGAATCATTTGCTACTAGACGGGAGGGGTTTTTTGCTATTAGTGGCCGGCCTACCTACCTACCTACCTACCTACCTACCTACCTACCTACCTACCCACCCTCTTGTATCTTTAGGCTCCTCTCTCTCCAAAAAAAGCTACCAAAGCGAGTGATTCTATAATATGGGAAATTAAAGCAGTAGGGTTGTAGACCAAAAGACACGACACAAAAGGAATAGTGTTTATGAGGGAGAAGGAAAAACAGCAAGCTCAGGCACTAGATTCTTGGTGACAAAGTTCAGGAGGTTGTGAATTCAGTCTAGTTGATCGTTCAATTTAAATGGCCATTGAGCTGGATTTAAGCCCAATGAAAGCCTTTTCTCCTTCTGACTGGCCACACAATGCCAGCAGGTAGCTAGAAGGGAGGGTCTCCCCTGGAGCTAGAGCATGATGGAAGGGGGGCCCTGAGGTTTTTTTTTTTAAGTGCTCTGCAAATAAATAAGAACACCATTGGCCAGGCTGACTGGAGACCTTTGGGATTTGTAGTTCAAAAACGTAACTTTTCCAAGCTCTGTTTCAGATCTTAGCGGACAACAACATTTCCTGCCATTAGCCATGCTGGCTAGGCATGAGAGGAGTTGCAGTCCAACAAGTCTGTCTCCTTGTGAGGGAGGCCACAGTAGCTGTTGCTAGGATCTTGTCCACTGCAAACTTTATTATCGCACCATTGTATGTGGCTGGCTCTGTGGAGGAACTGGAAGGGCTAGTGGGGATGCTGGTCCCAGTGGCCAGACAAACCATCTTACGTCCTTAATTGAACTGCCACCTACTCTACTTGGAAGGACAGGTTCACTGATCATGCATCACCTATACATCCTTCATACTATTTTTGCTAACTGTGTTCTTATCTGTCTATGTTTCCTTCTGGCTTCTTTCGGCATCTGTTTAATCTGATTTGCTTCTCGTGACTGTGTGCCGTATTTTTGCTAACTGTGTTCTTATCTGTCTTTCCTTCTGGCTTCTTTCGGCATCCGTTTATTCTGATTTGCTTCTCGTGACTGTGTGCCAATCTCTCTGTCATCTCCGACAGACCCTCGAGACCTGGAGATACCTGCTGGGTTTATTGAAACATTACATTGTCAAGGTCTGATCAGCCTGCAAGCTGGTGTGTGGTTTCATAGTAACAGAGATATAGATCTCCCAAGTGTGCATGTGTGTGTGTGCGCACACACATGCGTGTGTGTGCATGTGCACACATTTGCACGTGTGCACATTTGCCTAGGATTACAGCCAGTCAATGAATTATAGTCTAGGCGTTCATGTAAGACACTGTGCTAAACTTTTGCTAAACTCAGAACTGTTTTTATTTCTCTGGACCACAACTCCCAGAATTCCACAGATAGCTGTCTTGACTAAGGGATTCTGGGAATTGTAGTCCAAAAAGGGAAAATATTCCTAAACCATGCCACTGCAGCATCTCTCCCTCCCCCCCCATGGCAACATTTGCACAGAGGGAGAGGAGGACTAAGAAGGAGGGGAGGGGGAGGGAGGCAAGTGGGGTGGGAGCTGGAGCCCTTCTTTGGGGGCCTCACAATCTCCACTCTTTAGCACAGGGGTTTTTTGGGGCACCCCACTCACAGTGGAGCCAGGCATTATTCAAGCAGCCATCTGAGGAGGAGGAGGAAGCAGAGGAGGAGGAAAGGCCATGATCCAGCCACACAAGGCTTTGGTGTTAGTCAGCTCAGGTAGCAGTCCCTGGGTAACAATTGCCACTCCACTGCCATCCTGTGGGGAGAGGTCTCTTCAGTTTGCACTCACCTCTGAACTTGAGAATCCATGCCGTCTTGTAGATGGTGCTGCACATAGCCATTAATGGTATCTTATGTGGTCCAGAAAGAACAAAGAGACACAATGTGGTCCCCAGGATAATATAAGAGTGGGTAATAGGTCACTCTCACAGACCTGTACGATCAATTTCTGGAGTTTTGTTTACATTTTTTTTCAAGCTATCCATGGAGGGAGTTGTGCTAAGCCTGAAGAGGTAGACTTTTATCCCTGAAAGCTTGCGATTTCTTTAATTTTTATTGGTCCAATAAACGGTATTGCCCGCTCTTACATTCCTACCTCCCACTGCACACAATTATTTCAAAATAATTGTGTTCCAGTTACATCCCTAAACCTTCCCAGAATATTTTTAGGCAGTCTCCACTTCCCCAAGTTGAGAGAGGGTGCAGTGAAAATGCCCAATCATTCTAGTCAGATTTCCCATAACACTACAGTTTGTTGCTGCAGCTGTCCCCAAAATTAAAAAGAAATGGTGTGGGCTTCTGTTTTTAAGTGCACTGGAGTATTTATGGACACAGGCACACCATTTTCTCCTTCCTGGGAGATCTTCTTTGTGCTGGCCTGGTTTTGCTCATTACATCCTTAAAGAAGTTATCATTACAGTACTCAGTTAATTTCCAGGGCTCATAAATATGGAGTAAAAGCGAACCCATTAAGGAGATTATTAATATTCCAGGCACCTACTCAGAGAAGTCACAAAGTGCTCGTGCTAAAAATCCCTGTGCTCAAGATGAGGAATTAACTAGCAGGAGTGATGTGCGCTCTAAAAGCTCTCAGTTGCTAGCCTTAGAATTCATACCCCCACCACTTCCATCGCACATACGTTTCCTTCAAGACTATAGCAAAAGGAAACCTATAGCAAGACTATAGCAAAAGGAAATCTATCAATTGCAAACACTGCAATTTTGGTGGGCATTAGGAAAAACAAACAAATCATGCACCCCAAATCTAGCACTCAGATCCAGACACAATTTCCCCATAATTACACCTTCTGGAGCGCCCATCTTTCTTCTTCGGCCAGGGCTCCTACGGCACTGGGAACTGCAGAACAGACACGGATCATGGAGGTGAAGTGTTTTCCACCGCTGCACATCAGAAGCATCATTGGTTCAAATTCTGCCTGACGAGCCCCCTATCGCCTTCATAATGTCTGCTTGATTTCATAGGAGTGCTGCCATATTGATTTTAAAAAATAGCACCCATGATATAGATAATGTTTTCAGAGATTAGTGTTTTCTCCACTCTCAACCTTCCCCAAGCCAAGGATGTGGGGGAGAACTTTAGCGGAAATCTTCTGATGCCAGTAATTAAGCCTTAGGAAAAGTGCTTCAATCTGTTACAACAGAGCAAGAGAAAAACATGCATCTGTGCAAAAGCTGAGAAATTAATGGGAGGGGAGTGTAGCCTTCCGAGGGCTGGACTAGGATCCTAGCACAGGCAAATTTGGCCCCAAGGACTACGGTTTCACATCCTTGCAGTAGGCAGCCTCCTGAAAACAGACACACTGCTCTCCCCCCCCCTCCCGCATCCTCACAGGTCTTGAAGTAAATTATAGGCAACTTCATTTCCCCACACAACTGTGCTGCTGCCTGCTGTGATTAGGATTCTGCACCTCATCCTCCTTTGTCCCCTCTTCTGATGAGTTGCCAGAGGGAAGGTGGCAGTCGGGAGGCATTATGTTTTGATGCTGCAAATAAACGTCACCAGGCGAGGGCGTGAGAGACCCCGTCATAGCATCTCTCCTTGCTGCTTTGGCTCATGCGTCGATTCCTCATCCAGCAATAACAGCCACTCATCTGGCCTGCCCACCAGCTCAGCTGCTGCTGCAGTCACCGAGGGCTGGATAACGCTACCAATTAAAACCAGAACAATTAAAAATCCTTTCTTGGCCAACGGCTGTGTGGGGGGGGACATCATAGCAGCTGGGGGATCCAGGATAAGCATTTTACTGAGGTTTGAGCCTGGGAAGTGTACCTGGGAACAAAGGTGGGACAGGATCTGTTCCGGTTCACCAGCATGCAGGACACGTAATAATGGGCTCGAGTTAGAAGAAAACAGATTTTGATGGTTGTTGCAGGTTTTTGAGAGTCCCCTGGACTGCAAGGAGAACAAACCTATCAATTCTAAAGGAAATCAACCCTGAGTGCTCATTGGAAGGACAGATCCTGAAGCTGAGGCTCCAATCCTTTGGCCATCTCATGAGAAGAGAAGACTCCCTGGAAAAGACCCTGATGTTGGGAAAGTGTGATGGCAAGAGGAGAAGGGGACGATAGAGGATGAGATGGTTAGACAGTGTCATCGAAGTGACCAACATGAATTTGACGAAACTCCGGGAGGCAGTGGCAGGCAGGAAGGCCTGGCGTGCTCTGGTCCATGAGGTCACAAAGAGTCGGACACAACTAAGTGACTAAATGACGACGTGGGTTTTTCGGGCTCTTTGGCCATGTTCTGAAGGTGTTCTGGAGATGTTTGTTGGAGCTCTTAATTTTGTTTCCTCTAAAAGGTGAAAGAACAATATTCAAAGTACTTGCCATCCCTGCCCAGACTGACACAGAGAGAGAGAGAGAGAGAGAGAAAAGGAGGACAAACACTCTCTCTTCTTGAGCTTCGTTTTGCTCACTATATGGAAGTCTTGTTGCCATAGCTACAGTCTTAGAGTTATTTCCTACTCCCATGAGGAGAGCTTGGGCTACATCTGGCCAACTACAGGCAGGAGGAGCAGATCCAATAGGCTGCGGCAGCTCCCCACATCTGTGGCGAAGTTCTGCCTCGGAGCTGGGACTGTGGGAGACCAGACCTCTAGACCTGCTCTCTTTCATGTCATTGAAACAGGACTGGTGAGAGCAGGCAACTCATTGTTACTTGCTTGGCAGCCACTATTATAAAAACTGTTACTGAATTGAGACCGAGATGTCCTTGAGACTGGAAACTGCTCTTTGGTGCTACCTGTTTGCCACGCAGGAGCTACAAAATACAGGCA